GAAGGAGTGGAACAGGAAGGGAAAAAGAAGGTCAAGAGTATATTTGAGGGGCCGGAGAGATGGTTCAGTGGTTAAGAGCATTGCCTGTTCCTCCAAAGGTCCTGAGTTCAATTCCCAGCAACCACATGGTGGCTCACAACCATCTGTAATGAGATCTGGTGCCCCCTTCTGGCCTTCAGGCATACACACAGAAAAAATAATGTATACACAACAAATAAATAAACAAATATTTTTTTTTAAAAAAAGAGTATATTTGAGGTGCCTTTTCAGACCTATAATGGGATATACCTCCAGTGGGAATTGATAGGAAAATTTTCAAATATGTGGTGTAGGCAGAGGCCTCTTGCTTGTTCCTGGCTGCCCAGAACTGAAATAACCACACAGGAACTGTATTAATTAAATCACTGCTTGACCCATTAACTCTAGCTTCTCATTGGCTAGGTCTTACATCTTAAGTTAACCCATTTCTATTAATCTGTGTATCGCCACGTGGCTGTGGCTTACTGGTAAGGTCCCAGTGTGTCTGTCTCTGGTGGCTACATGGCTTCTCCCTGACTCCACCTTTCTTCTCCCAGCATTCAGTTTAGTTTTCCAGCCTAGGTCTACACTGTTCTATCACAGGCCAAAACAGTTTCTTTATTCATCACCCAATAAAAGCAACACATATACAGAAGGACTTCCCACAGCAACTGGGGTAGATTCACAGTCTTTTAAGACATTATTCATTACATTTAGCCCAGGAAGAAGTATGCTGGCTAGATGGACCACAGTCCTTGATAGGGTTCACATATGCGGTCTGCCCCGCCAAAGGATCCTGTCTTGAAGGTGTGGTCCCCAGTCTGTGGAGCAATTTTGAGAGACCATGAAAGCTTTGGGAGGGCAAGCCTACTGGAGGAAGTGACAAGTCATGGTGACAGCATCTTGTTCTGAGTCCCTCTCTCTCTGCTTCCTGTCCACCATGCCACAGGTTCTCACCATCGCCAAAGACTATGAACTGAAACCTTCAAAACGTGAGACAGTAAATCCTTCCCCTCTTATGCTGTTTGACAGATGTTATGTCCCAGCACTGAGGATACACCTCAAGCTCATAGTGAGGCCAAGAGTGCTGTTGTAAATGCACAGCCTGAGCATGGGGCGGAGCGTGAGCTGTCGCTGCGTCGTGCACCCAGGACGACAGAGACTGCACAGGGTGGGATGTAACAAGCAATTTCCCCTTGTTATAAGGAGGCAAAAGTATATTAGCAGCTTCAAGTGAAAATAATGGAGCATAAAAATGTTTCACCTCATAAGAAGAAATAATTTCATGCTATATGATTTTTCTGCCAATGTGAGCACCTGGCTCCTCCATCAGTCTCTGAAAAATACATCCCAGCTTCAACAGGCTAACAATTGAAAATCAGCATGAGAGAGAAACTCATTCAGCCATCAGAACCGGAATTCTCATTTCAGATAGCCCGGGCCTACTATTTCTCATAATATTCATGGTTTAGTTTTCATAGTGTCAGCAATAACATGAACATTATTAACCTCTTCTGCATTTGCTATGATAAATTAACCGATAAATTATTATAGAGCCAAGGCTCGGAGCTGGGGTCGGGAAAGATGGCCCAGTAGTTCTGAGCACTCACGGCTCCCTCAGCGGAACCAGGTTCAGTTCCCGGCACCCATATCACGTGGTTCACTGCTGCCTGGAGCTTCAGTGCTAGGGATGCTGGGACCTTTTTTGCAGTCTTTCCAATCACCTGCATACTTGTGTTGCACATCCATACACTCAGGCACACGCACAAACACATAAAATAATAAATAAGTCTGTCTTTAAAAATTCAGAGCTGGTGGTTGCGCTCAGAGGTAGAGTTCTCGCCTAGCATGTGCAAAGCCCTAGGTCCAATCCCTATAATTATAATTATAAAACAAATATATAATAAACGTAGAAATTTAAGTCATTAGTAAATAATATTGTATATTCATTTGTTTTAGAATTCGGCTTATCCTTTTTTCAGAAGCATATATAATTTTGTATGGATTAGTCGCAGGCGACTTGGTTCATTGTTCAGGATTCATTGTAATGGAAGAGAAAATGTATTTGTTTACAGACACAAAAACAAAAACGGCTAAGCTCTCACATTATGACCTAAAGCATTAGTAACCCGTTACTAAAAGTGGCCATAAAACGACAGAAATAAACGTTTTTATTTCTTCAGGAGAATTTCATATTCATGGTCTAGACTAATCCCAGCTTCATCCTCACGAGTCTACCTTTTGTTTTGTTTTCAAAACAGGGTCTCTCTGCGTAGCCCTGAATGTCGTGGAACTCAATCTGTAGACCAGACTGGCCTCGAACTCAGAGATGCACCTGCCTCTGAGTGCTGGGATTAAAGGAGACCACGTCTAGCTTCCTCGCTGATCTTAGGGCTTGCCTTTTCCATGCTTCAGGGACTGTGAAGAACAATCTCCTGCAGACATTGGTCCAACTCAGCAGGGGAAGAGAAGCCCACTCAGTCGTTTTAGCTAGACTTAGCCTGATTGGCCTTGGGTTTCGTTTTCAGTACTGCCACTAACTTATTCTGTGATTCAGATGTGCGTTTGTCTGTCCATCTGTCTGTCTCTGGTTCTAGTGACTGAAGTGGGTCTTGAGCATGCTAAGCAGCTACTGTACCAAGGAGCTACATCCCCAGTCCAATTCAGGAGGTTTAACCTATGTTGTGAAAGGATAATAATAACCTACTTATCTCATAGACATTAAATAAGCAGAAAAACAAACTAACGTACATGAAAAGTCTCTGGAAAATTGTAAAACCAAATACAAATATGAATGTAAGGCCGACCCCTATGTTCCTAGGGGCCTGCAATTTCTTTACCCTTTGTTACTGGCTTCAGTCCTGGAGGAAGAACCCCTTTTCCTTTTGCACATCATCCGAAAAGAAGAGCCAAAACCTGTGACTTTGATTTTTTTTTTTTTTCGCCTAGCATGTGGCCCGAGGAAGCCTTTTGTCAGCTAGTTGGGAGTTTGCAACCTTGAAAGAGGAAATCTGAATTCTACCTGTGTGAAGAATGGGATGCCAGAAAGAACAGGAAATCCTGTGATCTCCTTCCTGGTTTTCAAGGGAACCAAAGATTATAATCACCTCCTAGACCACCGGAGGGAAGAAGCTGGTTGTTGGGGAGGCTTCCGCTGCTTAAAACCGGTCTATAGCGGCAAATGCTTCAGCAGAAGCCACACTGCTTTTTCCAGACCTAAGAGATGGCTGATGAAGGATCTTGCCACCCTAGAGATGTCTCTTTATAAAGTTTCCTTGGCCTAGAGATTGCTGCCTCCTGCTTTTTTGTCCTGTTTTGTAGAAGGAGCGGTGGACCGCTTCCCGCCGTCCGCCTCCCAGCTAGCTTTACCCCTGAAATAATTACACGGAAACTGTATTCTTTTAAACACTGGTTGGCCCATTATCTGTAGCCTCTTATTAGCTAACTCTTACATATTGATCTAACCCATTTCTAATAATCTGTGTAGCATTACCAGGCGGATTCTAACATGCAGCTGTATCGGAGAGGAGAGTCATGGCGACTGCCTCACAGCCTTTTTCCTCCCAGCATTCTGTTCTGTCTACTCCACCCACCTAAGGGCTGGCCTATCAAAAAGGCCAAGGCAGTCTCTTTATTAACCAATGAAAGTAACAATAGACAGATGGCCCTCCTCCATCACTGTTTTATAGAGGTCTTTTCTGGAGAGGTCTCCCAAGCCACTGTCATCCCCATAACAGGCCTGGGTAAGAACCTTGAGAGCATTGAACTTTCCCATCATCGGCCTTCATCAATGGGATGTCGATTTGTCACTTCGACTGTTTGCTGTTGTGTCCTCATCACTCTCCAATAAGCTCCCAGAGGACAGAGAAGGGTTTGATTTCATAACATCCCAGAGTGGGACGGAGCATCTAGCTCAGAGAAGGGCCCACATTAAATATTTACTGAGTAGTGATGGAAGAAATATGATAAAATTTTAAAAAAAACCTCCAATGCAGATTGTCTCGGGTCTCAAATCATTTCTAGGAAGGCACATTCATGCACATATACATAAAACCCTTAATTAACTGTTATTCAGGGAGGACTTATTTCAAGTGAAGGAGCGCCACAAAAGGGGGTATTTAATAGATCAATTACAGTAATGTAATATCAATAGGAAGGACCAGGTTGCATATGCTAAGAGCTTCTTACAGACCGAATCGTTGACACTTCCTAACTGCCCATACCTAGACATTTTGAAGAAGGGACATGAAAAGGTTAGGGTTGTTGTGCCTCTGGCCTGAAGGCAAGAGCGCCTAGTCAGCAGACAGAAGGGAGGAAATGTGTCCTTCTGCCCCAGTGTGATGTGCTAGAAGGGGTTTCATGATTGGATATACTTGTTTTTTTTTTTTCAAACTATCAGGACAGCTTCCAGGAACGCGTATACCACACTAGTAGCTCGGTTCATGTTCTTAATTTAAGTGTGAGTGTGTGCCTGCGCGCGCATGCGTGCCTGTTCATGTGTATATGCATTTGTAAGTATACATGCGAGTATGCACATGTGTAAGCCATAGGTTGACATCATGTGTCTTCCCTAGTAGTTTGCCACATTATTTTTGGAGAGTCTCTTGCTAAACCTAGAGCTCGCTAATTAGGCTACAGCAGCTGCTTAGCAAACCGTGGGCTCTGCCTGTCTCCACCTCCTCAGACATGTGCTGTGCCACCCAGCTTTCTACATGGCGGCCGGGGATCCAGACTCAGTTTCTGATGCTCTCACAGGAATAATTTCACCAACTGAGTCATCTCCCCAGCCCATCATGTTCTTAGTCTTTAGCAAGGTACATTCCAACACACCTAAGTCAGCCACTGTCTCAGGGTTTCTATTGCCGGGAAGAGACACGGCGTCCGTGTAAACTCTTATAAGGAGAATATTGAATTGAAGGGGCTCACTTGAAGTTCCAGAGGTTCCGTTCATGACCATCACACTGGCGAGTATGGCAGCGAGCATGGCGGTGTTCAGGTAGATGTGGTCCTGGAGGAGCTTAGAGTCCTACCTCTTGCGGGTGGGCAACAGGAAGTGGACTCACTCACACCGAGCAAAGCTTGAGCCATAGAGACCTCAAAGCCTGCCCCACAGTGACACACTTCCTCCAACATGGCCAGACCTCCTCCAACAACGCCACACCTCCTAATAGTGCCACTTCCTATGAGTTTATGAGGCCCAGTTCCATTCAAACCACCACAGTCACCTTTCACTGTCTGTTTTCCCCCTTCTCCTATGAGCTGAGTAACACAAGCCGGTGCAAACTGTAACAAGATGTACTCCTTCCTTTCCACGGAACGTGTAATTAACTTCTGTCTTCCTCATTAAACGGCTTGCTCTAGTTAGATGTTGATACACTTTTTAAAAAAAAGAATCTGAGTAATGAACAATGCTCTTTTGAGACTTTACAGGTGCTAGATTTCTTTTCTTGCCTTGAGAGGGTTGCACGCAATAAATCACACTGCAAATAACGACGGACTAAGTGAGAGTGAGCGCTGAGACTGAAGAGGCGGCAGCTTCTGTGGAGAGGTCTCATGGATGGCGCTTTGGGGACAATCAGTTTGGAAAGCAAAAATAAAAACTCCATCCCACACTCACTTTCCAGAGCTCCTTCTTTGCTTTCGTGTAAGCGAGGCCTCTCGGTGTTTTATTGTATGCCAGGCCCTGCATTCTTTAACTGTGCCCTAAAATTCTGCAGACAAATTCTAACTCATTAAAAGAAGACAGAAATGAAACAATTTAAATGCTGTTGTTTAGGAACCAGGGAGATGGTTCAAACTGTAAAGTATCTGCTGATGGGGCCATAGACATGAATTTAATTCCTGGGACCTACATGGGTGAAGGAGAGACTAGACCCCCCCCCAAAAAAAAGTATATAAAGCATACCCCTTCCCCCAAAATAAATAAATAAAGTGTAACTTAAAATTTAATGCGTTTGTTTTAAATCAACACCAAGCAGCCACCCTCCTTCCTCATCAGCCACACAACTCCCAGCAGCCCCTCCTTCTGCCATTGTTTCTGCTATGCCTAACAGAAATCCCTAGACCTCGGATCCTAAAAGCCTGGAGGGACAGCTTGCATTTCTCTCATTTTGTACTTCCTGGCCATCTCAAGCCATAGGTTTCCCTTACCCCTGAGACTATCCGAACTGCACCAGTTTTATTTCTGTTTTGGAAAAGGCACGAAGGAGGAAGACATTTGGCATTTGTTCTCTTCGTGAATCTCGTCCCGACTCTATTCCGTTGAAAGCGGTATGCAGAACTGGGGTCACTCCATTTTGGGGAGGTATTTATTTTTTAAATGTATTTATCAGTTATGGTGAGCATTCAGCAGGACTCCCTGAATACAGAACACACTTAGTATACATTTTCAGTGTAAATTTGGCAAGAGAACAGGGAACAGAAACCAGCACAACCGGTGGTGACTCAGAACAAATCTCTTCCAAACCTCCTGTCTGGCTATAGTTGACAGCATTGTGAACTAAGCTTTTCAGACTAGTTCAGTCCTCCCCGTGGGGTACGGCCTGAGAAACGCTTTGGCTTCACAAAAGCTTAGAAAACCCCTGTGCTCAAGGACAAACTCTTGTCTGAGTGACACTTAGAAGCTTCTTCCAGAAGAGAAAGCATCATTTTGGAGGTGAAGCAAAGCAAGGTGTTCCCACCAAAAGAAGTTTTAGGAAAGTCTTCCTGTAGGCAGGCCCGAGGCCCATCTTCACCGACCCAGCCCCTACCCATCCCAATCTTGGTTTGTTCCTCTTTTCAGGAGAGAAAGCCTGACCCAGAGCTGAGTCTGTACCGTCTTAGTATGTTCTTTGACTTTTTCTTTTTTCTCACAACGACCTTGGAATTTCCCTGCATTAGTTTTTCTCTCTTCAGGGAGTCCCTCCGGTGTGAGGGTTGTCTTTTTTATACTGCCTCCATCAAAGTGGTTTCTTCAGGGTGATCCACCACCCTACAGATGTGCCCCATGGGTCTGGGTGCCCTGAGACTTTCTCAGCGGTTGGTTGCACTAAGGTAAACGGATCCAAATACTAAGTAGAAATGCGCCGACTTCCTTTCAAGTCAGACTTTACAAACAAGAATAACCTTGAAAAAGACCTTCACGTTCTGCTCAGGAACTTGGCCAGCCGCTTACCGCTCCCCTCCAGATCAGTTATTTATGCTGCAGGAGAGGGCTCCTAGCACCCTGCAACTCAAATCCCTGCCCTCCACTCTGGACATAGCGGAGCAGAGGGCTGGGTCGAGTAAGCCTCTGAGAAACAAGGGTCCTCTCCCTTCTCCTTAGCGAGCTAGGCTCACCTCCACAGAGGGCTTCTCTGTCCCTCTGGGGCTATTTCTGTGGCTGTAACTTGAACCTCTCCGAAGAATTCTTACCTGTTCTGGAGTTTCTTAGGGTCCCGACTCCCCAACAACCTGGACCTACCTCTCAACAGTTCCCACCCTGGAACCCTAGGGCAGCAATCGGGCTGCACTGGCCATTAAGGACCATCATCCATTTTTAATCAGAAAGATCACAAGAAAGATGGTAAGCGAAACCCGGTCGCGGGTCAATTTAAATAATATTCCTGGGGAAATCCAATCACTTAAAACTGAGACACCTACGCTAGTGAGAGAACGCCCCGCCCGTCTGGCGGGGAAGAGCGCGCCGGCTGAATTAATCAAGATCAAGGGGCTCCCGGGCTGAGAGCTCACTCAGCCTTAACCCTTCCAGCGCCGCGGGGTGCCCGGGTGCCGGAGGAAGAGCGCGGCGGACAACGGCCGAGATGCCCAGAGCGACAACAAACAGGCCACCTCTGTTGATCCCCGCGACTCCGCACGCTTCGCCCGGGACCCCAGCGCCCCGGCAGCTCGGCACCCCGACTCGAGGTCACGGGAGAGCTCCAGAGGTGGCTTCGGCAGTGAGCAACAGCCACCTCCCGCAGCCTCAGCGCGCCCCGGGCTCCTCCTCCCGCCCCAGCGTGGCCAAGTGAGCACCGCTCGGGTCGCAGGTAGCCGGGGCGCGGG